AACATAAGTACGCATCTGTGATTGTGGGGACAGAACAGTCTTAAGGCATGGGCCCGATGGCCACATACCCGGGGGCCCCACGAGCATAGGGGCCTCATGCTAATTTGTGCATGTTAAGTGACTTGTGTTACAGATTCCCCCTTTTAGGAAATACTAAAAATAGAAATCACTATGACAAGCCATACCATATTGCTACTGCAAAAAATATATGTCTAAATACAAATCCATTTCATTTGAGTTGGTTCTCGAATAAAAAGAAAGTAGGAGAATGTTTTTTTGACCTAGAAGACATCAGAAATGGTGAGTCTTACTTTCTTCAAAGAGGTGACCCCAAAAATATATAAATGGCAGGGCTCCCAGTTCAGTTCACTTGCAGACAATTTTGCTATCATGGAAAAGATCAAAAGAACTGACCCTGACTCCTGATGATCAGTCTTATAGAATTCTAGCACAAACTCGCCGGTAAAACTCATTTCTATCTTTTAATATTTGTGACCAAGACTACTGTTGACTTTCTGTTAAAGACAATTATTATTTTTTTTTTTTTCTGGTTTGATTTTAATTCTTAAATTTCCCTAGACTGAATTAATATTGTTTTGAAAGTTTAATTGTAATATAATTATATTTTTACTTTTATAAATAAATTATTTTCATTTTTATGAAACTCTCTTGTTGATAGTATTTCTTTATTTTCCTTTTCTGTCGCCTTTTCTCTTTTTTTCTTTTTGTCGCAACGGTGACAAAATGGCGGCTAGTCTTAAACAGATGAATGGATTCGTAGTGGGTCCTCATCATATCAGAAACATGATAGCAACCTTTCAAACTCATACAGAGTGTATAAAACAGTTGGAGTAAAAAAATATGAAGGCAAGGTATTTATCAAATAATGTGTTCAAACATGAACTGCGGAATGGAGAGTGACCATATTTAATAAGGCATAAAGAAACTGGAAGTGTATATTCTTTATTACTTGAGGCAACAACATGAGGCTACAAAATATGCTCTCATTCATTTAAAAGTTCATCATAATTCAGGTCTTTGTGATACACTACACTACATGGCTCTTGATGAAAATTCTGAGACTCTCCCTGCACTGTACAAAAAAGTAATTTTGGATGATTTGGAATCTGTATTCCTTAATGTTGAAATTGCACTCAGAGTATTCATGTGCATGAAGGTGACCATCTGTACAGGAGAACATTCTTTGCCAAGACTGAAACTTATAAAAAATCTGCTTTGTAGCGAATTTAGGTAAAAATGGCAGCGGTAAAAATGGCAACGGAAAAAATGGCAACGATTAAAATGGCAAAAGTGGATAAATAGGTAAAAATGGCAACGGTAAAAATGGCAAAAATGGATAAATAAAAAAAAATCGCAAAAGGAAAAAAAATATCGATGAATATCTCACAATGAGTTTATTAAAATCTTGGATACAATACATGATGGAAAAACATGAGAAGTTTGTCAAATTAAAAAGAATATTCAGCTAAAGCTCCCCCCTTACTTTTTAGGCGATTACGTCTGAACACACTGAAAAACTTTGGGAAAAAACATAGATATAGATCCACTTGATGAAACCGAAAACAAACAAAACAATAAAACATTAATTATTTCAGAGGCTATCAGACAACGATAGGGTCAGACTGGTGCCAGTAAAATTTAAAATCTTGTCTGATGCGTTTTCAATCTTTTAATACTCAAGTGTGAAGTCTCTGAGAGGCGTCATATAGACATTTAACAAATAGGCGTGAAAAGAAATTCAAACGATTTGCTGAGGGAAAAGGCTAAGTGAACTCTAGAATATTTACTTCCTTTACCATAATTTACCAATAAAATAATTAAATTAGACTCTGAGAGTCAATACGAAATCTGTAAATGGGATTCCTAATAAATTCGCCTTTGCGATTTTTCCGATTCCCGATTTCGATTAATCGTCCCAACACTAATATATATATATATATATATATATATATATATATATATATATACACTAATACACTTATTTTAGATATATATATAAAAAACACTAATACATATATTATACGCATACACACACACACACAGCTAATCCTAATGTCAGCTATCAATTATAAAATTAATTATAGTCATCAAATTCACTTAAACACGCTACGATTTGTAATTTTTACTGCAATTAGGAGTAGGAACCTAGCGAACCCCCCATAAAACTTCTAAAATCGACATTGAAAATTTAAAAAAAGTTTTTTAATACTAGGAGCGGGAACTTAACCCCTATTTAAAACAAGATGAGAAGGAGCCTAGCTACCCCCCCTCACTAGAGTATCTATTTAAAAATATTTATTTTAAAATATTGAGTGGGGGACTTAACCCTATTTTAAACTAGAGGAATGGGAGCTTAGACCCATCCTTCTCGAACAGTCATAATTTTCTGTTGTCGAATTGCCATTTTTTCCTATTTATCGACTTTTGCCATTTTTTCCTATTTATCGACTTTTGCCATTTTTACCGTTGCCATTTTTACCCTGCCATTTTTTCCGTTGCTATTTTTACCGCTGTCATTTTTACCGAGCACCGCTTTGTAGCACAATGGAGCAGCATTGTTTGAACTGGCTTTCACTTATGTGCATGGAAAATGACATCTTATTCCTGAATACCAATAATAAAGCAATTCTCTGAAAGAAATACCACAAATGCTTGTTGTAAGATCATCATAATTTCATACTGTGCCATCTAATCTGTGTGGCTGTGTATTATTGCGTTTTTCAAGCCTTGTGTATTGTTCAAATGTTTATCATATGGATTAGTTGCTAATGTACAGCATGTTTTTTAATGTTTTAACAGAAGTTTTGTTAAAGTGCCAATAAAATAAATATATGTTTAATATTATCAACCATTTACATTTTATTCCTGTGAGTGGTTGTTGTAGGGGCCCCAGCAAACAGGTGGGGGATAGTGCTGTTACGACGGCCCTAGGTGACAAAATAGATTTTTGCTTCACTTGGCTCAAATAATCTTAAAGTTCAAAGATATTTTAAAACGAACGCACTGAGATGGAAACCAATTTTATTGAAAGTGGATTATCGTCTTTTGATGTGACATTTGACGAACATTCCTTGTCTCTTCTATTCAATTAAACGAAGGATAGATATGTGTTATCGTGGATACGATGTCAGATGTCTATGTTCTTGGTATGGCAGTACAGGTTGAACTTTCCCGATGATAACCCATCATTTTTTTTTTAACCTTTTAGAGATAGAAACATTGCAAAATGGTGTCTAAAATAAAAGTGCTTCCCAAGCAGGTGTGTATCAATGAGTTCTTTCATATAGAAGAAACTGCAGCCATTGACATTGCCGACACTTGTTGAAAGTTTACAGTGACCAAACAATGAATTTGAGCACAAATAGGCAGTGTGTAATGTTTTGCCAATGGCAATGAACGTGTGTATATCAACCCAGAAAATGTAGCACACCTCAAAAAAGTATAGCCAATAATGGGTGACTATGTTGAAAAATAGAGTTTTGTGTTATTCAACGTGTGTTTCCGATTTCTGTTCACATAACATTACTTTTTGAGCGTTTCTCGTACACACACGCGCGCGCATACACACACATATATATATGAAGAAATATACTCTTAAGGTGTGCTATATTTATGGGATAAAGTGCTCAATATCAGAGATAGAGCAAATATAAAAGTGAACAGGTGGCCTGACGATTGCGTCTAGCATGAAACAGCCCGTCGTCTCTAAGTGTTGACTTCAATGTTCACTTTTTATATATATATATATATATATATATATATATATATATATATATATATATATTTCTTACTTTCCCGGTCGAAGTTAAGCCCACCAAAAATTACAGTAAAAAGGAATTAAATGAAGAAAACTAAATAAAATAAATTGTAAACTATAAATGCTTCATCTCAGAATTCATAAAATCTAATTCTCCTTCAGCTATAATTTTTATGTAATTTTTCTTTTAAAATCTGCTGTAGTTTTACTTATATTTGCTTCTTCGAAAAATTATTCTTATACTTTATCCTTTGATTGTCATTTCGGTGTTTTTCTCAACTTCATTTTAACAACGCATCTCCCTATTTGTTACAAATAAGGATTTTATTTTTAAATTATCTACTAGATAAGGCACCCGAGGGGCGCAATAAACAAATACTACCTTTAAGAATGCAAAAGGCCTAGTTATCACCAAAATGGGACAGCCTAAGAGGCGAATTACCTATCGGGGACGTTCAAATTCAAACAGGCGTGGCATTTTAACTATGTGAGTAGCGGACGGAAAGTGCAACACACAAATCCGAATGCGCATAGAAATAGCAAAAGATGTCTTCCAGAAACTAAACAAATAATTAAGGGATAAGATACTATCGCATAACACAGAGTAATGAATTGCTATGTAATATCTAATCTCTTTCATAAAAGTGAAGTTGGACAATCTCCTCACAAATTAAGAAAAGACTTGAAGTAACAGAAATGTGTCTCTACCGACGAATGACGGATAGAACATCTGAGTAAAAAGTTTTAAAAGAGAAATGGAAACAAGAGAAAGGAAAGTGATATTTTCAATCGCAACGGAAATTTCTGGAACATATAATGAGGAATGTAACTCTGGAGGATTTAACACTCACACGACATACTGAAAGCAAGAAGAAATAAACTACTTAAGTAGATTCTCAGTGAATGAACAGCCAAACAATGACAAAGAGGAAAAAACTGCATAAAGTAACGAAAGAAAATTGTGGAAAGCCATGATTCCTCACGTCCTGAAAAGACAGCATATAAACGTTGTGAGATATGTATGTATATAGATATGTTCCCATATGTCAAATGAAATATGATGTCTCTGCATGTGCAGCGAGTAAATGTTGTTTTTAGTAAAAAGTGATTGAAGATTGTATGCGCGTATACGTGTGTGTATGTGTGTGTGTGTGTGTGTGTGTGTGTGTGTGTGTGTGTGTGTGTGTGTGTGTATAAAAAGCAATGTACAAGTTTATCTTACCTTCAGTGGGTCCACAATGAAACAAGACTCAAAGAAAGAAAGGAAAAAAGTTGTTAACCATTCTTCCGATTTTTCTTTACCCCATTCTTGGCTGTAGAGGATAATGAAAATGGCTGAAGCCAAAATTGATAGCGCAGTCAGAACCCAAGCGATATAGGCACAGAACCATGGTAACCTAACTCCATGAGATTCCTCATAGAAATCTCCAGTTACTTTTCGATTGGTTGCTACAAGCTCTTCGGTGGAAAGAAAACTTTCTTCAGCAACTTCTCCAGAAGATGAGTTCTTGTGTGAGTAATGTCTGTGCTTGGATTTTTTGAACAATGCCATTATTAAAACAATCGGAAATGTGGAAATGATAATTCCCATAAAGCTTGTCCAAAGCATCGTGTATGAAAATCGAATTGGACCAATCTCTATGACCTCTGCAGGTTTGCTGTAGAACATGGCGTTCGATATCATCGTAAGAAAAAGCAAGGCGAATGCTGGTAATAGTCAAAAGAAGAGAAAAAGAGAAAATATTGTTTGAATTCATTGTATAATTAATCTTTGTGCTTGCTCAAAAACGTTGTCATTAGTTACCAATAACTCTGTAACAATTTTCTGATACAAAAGGTTAACACTACATGACATTTAACAGTACCATGTTATCAAGCTAAGAACCCATTCTCACATGTACGTGCTACAAAACTATTGCATAAAACTGTATTCGTTAATCAATACATAAATAACTTAAGTGGCATTGCAGTCTAAAAGTACATGAACACAATTATTTTAGTCAAAATCACATTAAAGATACAGACAATAAATTTGTTATAAAAATGCAAGAGACGGGATCATACTTCAGGACCACGGAAATTTTCACATTTTCAAAAAGGTCATATTGTTTGTGGAGTGTGTCATTATTAAAGAGTATCAAAATTGGGGAATGCATTTTCAACTGCAAACTTTGTAATCATCAATCCATCAATGAAGAAAAGGCAGTTACTGTGTCTCATATGGAACGACTTGAGCCATTAGAATGCAGTTTTCGTGCAATGTGACAGAAAGTCGAATCAAACTGCCGTTACAAGGATTTCCAAAGGCACATTAGAAGAAAACTACTTCTTAACCCATCCAGCATCCAACTGAGATGATGAACAGAGTATTGTAACTTAAGCTCACTCTTATTTACTCCATTTTTGAATAGCAGAAGTGTATAGGTGTACAATTTACCATAACACGAATTTTGATTACACCATCTACATTCTATTATCAAAGATGGCAAATTATTGGTTCTCGTAAAGAAAGCAGTATGGCAGTTCAGATTGTTCAAATCTTTTATTATATCAGTCACATAATTTTTAACTTTCAATATGTTCTTTCTTTTGCATGCATACTCGTGTATTTTCTTTCTTTTAACTCATTTATAAAAAACAAAAATATAAAATATCGCCTTGTTGTAATTGTCTTCCATTTTCTTACATCCGTCATTTACATATGTTCAAAATATTGTTGTCACTACTTTTAGTCTAACAGTAGCGCTGCAACACACAAAAAAATCAGTACTTTCTAATGAAAGATAAAATCAGTACTTTCTAATGAAAGATGAAACTTCATGTTATACAGCAAGAAAATTCTCATATAGGATGAAACTCCTTGTCATACAGGAAAAAATATTGTCAAATGGAAGATGAAACTTCCTATCACATCTAGCAAAAAAAACTTTCTCTATGAAATAATTAGATTCACCAAGGAATCAATATTTCCTTTCAAATCAAAACAAAATTTTCTTTTATTGGTAAGTGTGATAATTATAAATATGTAATATCTGATACAATATCTGATATTTATCTTTATGCACACACTCGAACGTAAGGCCGAGTTGGAACTCACAAGTACTCGGTATTTCCTCTTTTGGAGATGCTTCAGGCGTCAGTTAATGAGGGAGAGGTGTTGCCAGAGGAAACAACCTTTCTGGGGATTGAGTACCTGATATTAAATTTTAGTAATCTGGCGCCCCTTAGCCGGATAACATTAATTATCTCCGTCCACTGTTATGGACATTTCCCAAGTCTTTTATGTACGTAATACAAAAATTAACGGTTTTGTTTTCATTCGGATCTTTTATTCCGAAATTGATCTTACATTATTATTCTAAAGGAAAATCAATTACTCAGTTTTAATTATTGGAAATTAACTGCGATTACAATATTAAATATAAAAACCAAAAACTGGGATTTTGATTTGATAGAGACAAAAAGAAAAAAAGAAACAAACTTTTTAAAGTTCAATGTCAGACCTCTTCTGAAAACTAATCCGTAATCGTAGACAGAATTTCACTCACCCAGTATACATTAATTTAATATAAGCTGTAAAATCTGACACTGCTTTTAATAATATATTTTTAAAAAAAAAAGGGAAATATATAAAACATGCTTAAAAACTCGGACTGAATTGGCTTTTATGGTGAGAGGTTTCGTGTTTTAAGTTCATTTTAGCCATTATGTCATTATTATTTATCTTTATTTCCGTTAAAAAAATATTGATAATTATGATTTGGAATTGGAAGGAAAGGTGTGATGGCACGTATCCTGAATCCATCATAAAAATTCACGATGTGGAATTATTACTTACTAAACACTTCAAATACTTCGTCGATGGATCAGTTATAACGAATTTAGTAGAGAAGAAAAGGAATTTGAACCTAGACAAGGCTGCGCCAGGGGTAGTTTTCCCTAACACCATAAATTATTACAAAACTAAAACATTAAGCTAAAAACTCGAGTCATGTTCTTAAGTGGCTTCATATTGAGACTTTCATATGAAATTGTCATGTATGGCGTCAAATCCCGTTCAGATATGTATAGACTATCAGCTATGTATAAACGTTTTCTAAAATCAATGGTTAAAAATGGCTTTGATCTTGTGAAGCCTTATAATTTTGGCAAAGAGCACCCTTCTTTGAACTTTGTGGACTGGCGGTACAGAATTACATACAAAGAACTGCGCCAAATATCAGAAAGAAATCACTTGAGGACTAACAACAGCAGTAGCAACTAAAATGCATAGCACATATAATTCGAAGAAAAAATAATTGTAATCAAAATGTAAACCTTTCACACTACTTCAAATAAAAGGTTATATAAATATATTTTTGTTCATGTTAAAAACTATATTAACGTTGTGGAAATTCCGGGTTCAGAAAATGTGACTCAAAGCTTCTATTGATAGAATTTTGCCGACGTCAAGATTTAGCTTAGCAACAAGCAGTAACCATTTTCGGCGACATATCTACGTGACTCATCCTGGAGGCCTGAGGGTTAATGAAATTACGATTCTCACCGTCAATTAGCACTCAGCCCTTCTGGTTAAGGATGAAATTACCACCAGGTAATCACTCTTTAAAACTGTTGTCATGAGGACCCTGCGAGGTCTATTAAAGTAGTTAAAAAAACTCATAGAATATAGTCAAATATTACTGCCTTCATGCAATATTAAGGCTCCCGGGTTAGATTCCTGGCCCTACGGGAAGAGTAAACAATTCCGGATTCAAATCCAATATTACCAGTGATTCCAGATACAACAAATTCACAGGCACATCCAAGAAATCCTTCATCCAAATACAACAGCGAAACGGGAATGAATTTCTTTACATTTTTATATTTTTACACGTGATATTATTATTTTTTGAAAGTGCGTTTCTACCTTGATTTATGTTGTGCTATTTGTAATGGAAAGGAAATATTTTGATTTTACAATATGCAGGAATGTAATCGTTTTTTCCTTATTTCTTCAATTTTGTTAAATCGTCTCAGAATGATATACGAGTCTTGCAATGGGGAAATAAGATTTCTGTGCGTGGCTTAAAGTTTATAGTGGCGTTCTTCCTTAGCAGTAGTAACAGTAGTAGTAATATTCGTGGTAGCAGAAAAAGCGGTACTCAAATCAACAACACATGTTAGCGGACGCTTCATTCCAATCTCTGACGTCACGTTCTCTCTTTCTCGAGTCTCTCTCTTCCGTCTAAACGCTCGCCCGTCTCTCTCCCGTCTGCCCGCTCGCCCGTCTGCGCTCGCTCGTCTCAGCGCTTGCCCGGACCAATTCTCTCTTCTCTCTTCAAGAAATTTCTCTCGTCTATCTTTTTCAGCATAACTACGCGTTTATATAGAAACATCCGGCTGGTTACAACTGAACCTTGGTCGCACGTGATTATCACGGGGTTTTGGCTGTTTCAACCAAAATCATGTGAATTCAAAAGTTCCTTCTAGCTTATTCAGCTCTATTTCAATTTTTAATCGATAAAAATTATTTCGACCATTTCCATTGTCTGCTGATGACCCAGATTCAATGGGTACAACTTCTGGCCTAGATTAAATTTTCTCATCATTAAACAAAATGCTCTGATTTAATTTCACGATTTAAATCTATTCCAAGTTTTAAACAATAAAAATTATTTCGACCATTTCCATTGTCTTCTAATGACCCAGTTCCAATGGGTACAGCTCGTGCCCTAGATCAGATTTCCCATCAGTAAAGGAAATTACTCTGGTTTAATTTCGCTATTCAAACATTCTCCAATGTCACTAAAAAAAAAAAATACGTGTGTGTTTGTGTGTGTTTTTTCAAACTCTCTCCCCGTCAGTATGTCCAGGATAACCCGTAACAGGATTTTTTTCAATAAACTTTTTGTTATTCTCCACCTGTCTTTTCTGTGTTGTGTGTGCCACTATTGTTGTTAACTCCTCTGTTTCCTCATAGTTCTGAAAGAAGCCGCCATCAATACTGGAAAGAGCGATAACAGGTACTGGACTTAAGGAACTTATTTTCTTGAAAAATTGTTTTAAGAGAAAGATTTTATAAATTTCAACCGAAAATGGCAGCAATGCCAAATGTTTCCTTATTGGGAACCGGCTAATATTCCCATTACCATCTACTGGCATCCACCAACACTAAGTAGATGACCTCTTAAATTCTCTATTTTCCTTGTCAAGCGACCCTGTTTACATTGTCTTAAAAGA